CCTTTGGGATTGCAGGGCAGTTTCTTATCACTAGGCCACCAGAGCTCTCTATATTTATTACTTAGCCTCTACTATTTCTGTGATTTATACTCTTCACTTATAATATTTTTTCATTAACTTTTGTTTTTGTAAAAATATGAATGCAACTAAATTAAAAAGTTCAATACTACCTATAGGTTTGTAATAATATAGTGTTTTGGCTATCCCTAATTATCCCACTCTGCAATTCTTATCTCTGAGTAAAAATTGTACCGGTATAAATGATGAAAATACAGAATAACAGAAACCTCTTTAGATTCAAGAAGAATTGATATCTTTGAGTTGTGATATTATAGAACAGTTCTGAATATTCCATGAACTGCCAAAAGAACAAGCAAGTCTGCATTAGGGGAAGTGCAACAAGATGCCCCTTAGAGACAAGGATGGTGAAACTATGTCACATATTTTAAGCATGTTGTAAGGAGGGACTTGGGGGAAAGGCATCATGCTAAAAAAAGGTAGAAGGTCAGAGAAAAAGAGCTGAAGGAGATAGATTGGTATAGTGACTGTGGCAATGGGCTGGAGCCTGTTGGAGATTCTGAGGATGGAGTAAGACAGGAGCATGTTCCGCTCTGTTGTTCATAGGATTGCTAAGACACTTAGTTGACTTGACAGCACCTAATACCAACAACAACAGCTTTAGACTCTTGCCCACTTTTCTTTGGCATTTGCACATGGCCATCAGTCTCAATTATATCTACTTACTGCTATTTTTTTTCATCAATTTTATTGTTGCTACTGACTTTTTATTATGGTCAATGAGGATTTAAGGCTCTTACATCACCATCATATGTTTCCCTTCATCCATACTCCAAAAATAGCTTAGTTACTACTTTTAGTTAAGTCAATATTAAATATTTTTGTTATTATGCAAATGTACCTATTATTCAGTCTAACATTATTGAATACTATAATTATGCTTACTTTTTCATTTTTCCAGAAGCAAACAACTCCCATCTACTTTTTTTTTGCTTCTGCTTAAATTACTTTGCATATATTGCTAATTCTTCCCTCATTTCTCAGACTATGTTTCTGCACAGACAAGCACAAGTCATCTATCAGTTCTCGAAGACACTCATTCTAGAGACCTGAATTTCTTTCTGTAGATCTGTCTTACTTCCTAGACCTGCAACACAGTTGTTCTGAAAATTCCTTGTCTTCAATTTTTGTCTTCAGGTTTGATTTTTCTTTTCAAGGTCTCATTGTTTTCCTTATTTTACTTATGCATGTCTTCCAGTTCTTTCTGTAGATTAAAGACATGGTATAACGGCAGAGAGTAGGATGAGGTAAAATTTTCAGCTTGTCTGTATCTGGTGCCTCATTTCCATTCTAAACTGTATATCCTCCAGACCAGTGTTCATTTCATCATAGAAATTCCCTTTGCTTTCCTACTACACTACATCAGTTTTATAATTGGGTTCTTTGTCTTCTTGTTAAAGTGTTTGAGTTTCATATGAATTTTTGATATGTTCTTGCTGAATATTTTCCCCCGTCTGGAGGTTTTCTTTTTACTCTGCAGAAGTCTCTTTGATATGCATAGGGTCTCATTTTTAAAATTTTTTTTATTTCCATTCATTCATTGTTGTACATTTTCCTCCCTTTTCCCCCTCCCCCCAGTTTACTTTTCTCTTTGGTAAAAACATTCTTTCATTGTGATACAGTCGTTCCCCACCCCATCCCTGGACCACTTTATTATGCAACTCTTATTCTGGACTGTTGTTGTGCATATAATACCTAATCATATATTTCTTTTAGACAGTTCTTTCCCTCATCTATTTAAATGCTGTGTTCATTATTTATCCCCTCTTTTCTTAGTTTTACCCCAAGCCCCATATCAGTCCTATTTCATAACAGTGGTTTTATGCAGTATTTGTCTTTTTGTAACTGAAATATTTCACTCAGCATAATGTACTCCACAGTCACCCATTTTGTATAATATTTCATGAGTTCTTTGGTTTTCACTGCTGCATAATATTCCATTGTGTGAATGTACCATAGCTTCTCTATCCATTTGTTTGTTCATGGGCACTTGGGTTGTTTCCATCTCTTTGATATTGTGAACAAAGCAGCATAAACATGAGTGTGCATATATCTGCTTGGGTGGCAGTTCTGATTTCTTTAGGATATATTCCCAGTAGTGGAATTGCTGGTTCAAATGGAATTTCTATTTCCAACATCTTGAGAAAGTGCCATACTGCCTTCCATAATGGTTGCACCATCTTATACTCCCACCAACGGTGAATAAAGGTTCCAGTTTCTCCACAACCTCGCCAATATTTGTTGTTTGCTGCTCTGTTGAATTTTGCCATTGTTACTGGGGTGAGATGATATCTCATAGTTGTTTGGATTTGCATCTCTGTTAGAGCTAGGAATTTTGAACATTTCTTCATGTGTTTGCTTGCCATCTGAATGTCTTCTTTGGTGAAGTGTCTGTTCATATCCTGTGCCCATTAGAAGGCCTCATTAGTGTAGTTTATTCTCTGTTGATTGTACATTTTCAGATATATTTGATATATATTTATGCTATAGATTAAGGCTTCTAATTTTGCTCCAGTGTTTTTATTTGATGATCTTTTAGTTTAGTCTTAGATTTTGCACATAGGTCCTTGATGCACTTCGAATTCGTGTTTGTACATAGTATGTGGTATGGCTATTGTTTCAGTTTTTTGCAAGTAGACATCCAGTTTTGCCAGCACTATTTGTAAAGAGGCTGTCCTTTCTCCCATTAAATGCAAATTTTTTCAGCAATTATTTTTCTGTCTCTTGGCTTCTGTGTTGTTTTGAAAGTGTTTTGTCACTTTAATTACTTCTTCTTTTGTTGAGTTCAAAGGCTTTGTTGCTTGTGTTCTGCAGTTTCGTTGTGTTATGTCTAGGTATGAAATTTTTAATCCTGCCTCAGACTCATCAGGATTCCTAAATTTGAGAAATTTAATATATCCTCAGAAATTAGTACATATTCTCCTTTGAATAATATATCTTGCAAATTTTCTGTTTTCTTGTTCAAGAACTAAAAGTATCTTAGATTATTTTACATTAGAGTTCCTCATCTCCAGCTCTGTTCATTATTTTAAATCTTTTATTTCTTTGCATGTCTAATAAATCTCCTCAGATGTGATTTCAGAACTCAGCAGCATCTGAAATACTCTTTAATACTGCTGTTGAATATTATATTCCAATGATGTTATTTTTCACATCTTACATGTTCTATTTGGTTCTAATTAAAGCTGCCTTGTTCTTCTCCCAAAATATTTTTCCCCAAAAACTTGTGATCTAGAGGGTAGGATTGCTCTGTCAACCCTAAGACAGGTGGTTTGGATCCACCAGCTGCTTTGCAGGAGAAAGACGGCAGTCTTCTTCTGAGTGATTTATTGCCTCTGAAAACCTGCTGGAGGGTTAGCTATGAGTGGGTTCCAACTTGACAGCATATAAAATCAATAACCACATCCCTTGAAAATATAAGAGTCTTGGTTTCTTCATTTATATCCTCAGCCATTTAGCCATTATTTTATAAATAATATTTTATATTCTTTCATTTGAACCTCTTTGACATCTACTGCTGCTGCTCTATGTATATGGACATATGCCTGTTAATTCTTACACTTTGTTTCTCACATTTATTTCCCTATGTTTTTTGACTTCTTGTTGTTATGTGCCATCGAGTTGCTTGCAACTCATAGTGAGCCCTAAACACCGTTCTGTCCTGTACCAACCTCGCCATCTCAAACATGTTCATTCCCACCACTCCAATCACAGAATCGATCCATCTCATAGAGGGTCTTCCCCTCCTATGCCGGCCTTTTTTATTGTTAAATTATATTAGTCACATTATCTATCGAAACCTAGGCAGGTTTGATTGAGAGCATATCGCTCCAGAAAAGTTTTATATTGGTTTCTGCCAGCTTCCACAAAGATACCTCTTATCCACAGCCATTTTTGTGTAAATATCTTGGTGTTGGATTCCCATGTTTATATAAGCAAGTAAACAAGAGTGTCAAATACTGTCTTATCAAAATTCACAGAGAAATGTATTTGGGCGGTTTTGTTTTGGGACTTTATTCTTTCTGTAATGCTCAATCCATGACAGACTGGTTCCCTTTTTGTTCTCCAACTTTGGAAAATGATTTTGTAACTTTTCTACCTTTTTACTAAGTGTATGCCCCTTAGTTCTGGTTCCCTGCCTCATATGGGACCAAAGTTTCACATCACCTATATCATGTTCAATATTAAAACTCATACTCTTGCATTATCAAAACCCAACATCTAAAAAAAAAAAAGAAAGAAAAAAACCCCAACATGTCCACCAGGAAAGTCACCACTTGCACTTATGTAGTTTCTGCTTTAGTATTTTTGCTTTTTTTATCTTTAAACCTTGATGACTCTGTGTTTATCTTACAAATTCAACTGTTTTAGGTAACTTAGTCCAAAATTTCTAAGGATATCATTGTTGAAAGGTCTGACATTTCAAAATGTTTCGTCTATTTGAAATTCACTAAGTAAAAGTTTTATATACATAGGGAAGCTTGAAAAAAGAGGAATATTTTAAGATCATAAATGAATGCATTCATGAGAAGATTAAACAGGACAGCATTAGTTGCATTGTTGTTGTGTACCATCAAGTGAGAGCCAGCCCATGGCTGACCCTCCAGCAGGTTTTCAGAGGCAGTTAATCACACAGGAGGAGATTGCCTGTCCTTCTCCTGAGGAGAAGCTGGTGGGTTCAAACCACCTCCCTTTGGGATTACAGTGCAGCTTCTTACTAGGCCACCAGGACTCCCATAAAGTAAAAATTACCCTGAGGAACCACTGGGTGGATTCAAACCTCCTATCTTTGCGTTGGTAGTGCAACTCCTTACCTTGAGGAGTGATAGATACATCAAATGAATGCTTCATGGTGGCTTTTTCTTCTTGATATCTTGTATGTCCAAGTTTGTTAATCACCTTTTGTTTTTCTTCTCATTAAGGAAATTCCATTCTTCCTCTGACAGTCAACCTAGCAGAGCTTCTCCAGACACTCAGCTCACTCAGCTAATGGATCAGCATCATGTAGCCTTACTGCAGTTGACGGACGTGCAGCCCAGTGAAGCAGCACCACGCAAGCAGCACCAGCAAGCCCAGTTGAATAATAACACCATGTTTCCACCCATAGGATCAAGGGTAGAAAGTGAATCCCAACTCAGTTCAGAAAGAAGTGAACGAAACCAAGTGAAAATTAGTCGTAGCAATTCTGAAGGCTATCTGTCTCAGCTGGAAAAGGGGAAAAGACACAGGAAAAGAAGCGGCCTGAAGGTAAATAAGCATCATTTATCAAAACACTTTTTTGGTGTTGCAAAAATGTGAAAAACATAGCATTTGACAATTCAACATTTCCACACACAGTTTAGTAAAAAACAACTTTATGAATCATATTATACAATATCAACAAAGTTCAATGCCAAATATTCCATCCTGTAAACAAAAATGATGTGCTTTGTAAAGAATTTTACTGTCTTTCCTCATCCGTTTTATCCCTGTTATCCACTATTAAACTCTAATATCTTTACTTACACCTGTTCTAGATACTTTGCATTCATAAAGTAATGCCTTTAGTCTTCTGTGATTGCCTAATTTCAATCAGCTTGTGTTCATGTTTCATCAATAGAGCCTATATCAGAATTTCATGGCTCTTTATGACAGAGTAATATTCTCTTCTACATATATACTTAGAAATAAAACCAACCAAAGAAATATACTTCCATCAAGCCCATTTTTACTCATAGAGAACTCTTCGTTGGGTTTCTGAGGCTTCAAATCCTTCAGGAGAAGATTGTCTATCTTTCTCCCATGCAGCAGCTGGTGTATTCAAACTCCTGACCAAAAGATTGTCAGTCCAACATGGAATGCATTGTGCCACAGAAACTCCTTTTGTGTGTACATTTTGTATAGCCTTTCATCTGTGGGTGTGTATTTAGGTTATTTCCATATTTTGACTGTTGTGAATAATGCTGCAATGAACGAAGGGGTTCAAGCATGTGTGTTTGTATTGCTATTATCAAGTCTCTTGGGTTATAGATGGGCAGTCTTCTCCCATGTGATTCACAACCTCTGAAAACCCACTGGAGGTTCAGCAGTGAGTCAATTCCAACTCAACAGCACAAACAACAGGGACATAAAAACATGAATGGAATTGCTGGGTTTGGATGGTAGCTTTGCATATCACTTCACTAAGAATGTCTATACTGTTTTCCAGAGTAGCTCTACCATTTTTGCATTCCATCCAGCAATGGATGAGATTTCTCTCCATATCGTTGCCCTAGTACATGCTTTGTCCTGTTTTCTAATCTTATCTAGCAAGTGTGAAGTGATTTTGATTTGCATTTTTTCTAATGGCTAGTGAAGTTGATCATCTTTCATATACTTGTTGGCATTTGCATATCATCTTTGGTGAAATGTCTATTTAGGTCAGTTGTCCATTTGTCAGTTCAGTTGTTTACCATTTTCTTGTTAAGTTTTAGAGATTCTTTATATATTGAAATTTTATATGTTGTTGTTGTGTATCATAGAGTCTGAGCCAACCCATAGCTGACCTTGGGGGAGGAGAGGTTCAGAGGGAGTTAATTGCATGGGAGGAGATTATCTATCATTCTCCCATGGAGCAGCTGGTGGCCTCGAAAGACATGCCTTCAGGATTGCAGCACAGTTCCTTGCCACTAGACCAGCAAGAATTTATGTGTTCTTTATATATTTGGATTTTAAGACCTTTATCTGATTATAGTTCCCAAAAGTTTTCCTTCATTCATCCTTTATTTCTTAACTATGGTGACAAAGTTCTTTTAACAAACAATCTTTTAGTTTTGCTAACACGGACAGACCTTGATGTTCACAGCCCTTGCTGATAGCACTGGAATAGGGAAGCTCATTTCTGGGCTGCTGCACAGCTGGGTGGCCCAAAGTCTTGAGAAGTTTCTTTACTCCAGTGCCTTCTTTCCTTGGAATTGTCCTCCTCTTCTTCCTGCAGAGATGCCCATTTCATTCCCCTCTTTTTTTATTCATCTCGGAGTAAAGCCTCCACCTGCAGGTAGACAGTAGTAGTCCTCCTTTCTTCCAGCTTAATTATCACTCCCTCCAAAAGTATCCTATACCCACTGCCTCAACTGCTGGTCTAGACTGAGTCTCTGGAGGTATATTCTCATGTCTGAGTGGAAGAGCTTGATGAGTGAAAAACCCCTGTTGCCAGTGCATTTCTTCTATCACCTACCACTGCCTTCCCGGACTACTGGGGGTTTTTCCCCAGTTGCCATAAATCCATCCCAAGTCAATTCTGATTCCAGAAAAGTGTATGTGTGTCAGAGTAGAATGTGCTCCAAAGGGCTTTTCATGGCTGATTTTCCCCCCAGAATTAGCTTTCCAAGCCTTTCTTCCTCGTTGACTTGGTAGGCTCAAACTTCGAACCTTACAACACTAAGCTCCTTAGCTTTAACTGTTTGCACACCCTTGTCATTTGATGTCATCAAGTAGATTTTCAGTTCCTAGGAAACCCCATTAATAGAGTGACAGAGTAGAACTTACTCAGGGTTTTTTCTAAGCTGTATTCTTTATGGAACCAGTTTGCCAAGTCTTTCTCCCATGGAGTCAGAGTGGCTTTAAACTGCCAATTTTTCCATCAGGAACCAAGTACTTACCTGTTGTTGTATCACCAGGATTCCTCACATCTGTAGTCCCAGAGTGAGAGCTCTGGTGGCTAAGTAGTAAAGGATAGTGCTTCCAGTGCAAAGGTATGCAGTTCAAATCCATCAGCTGCTCCAAGGAAAAAAGATGAGCAGTCGCCTCCCATGTGATTTACTGCCTCTGAGAACTTGCTGGAGGGTCACTGAGTCAATTCCAACTCAACAGTGCCCAATAACAATAATCTCACATTGGGCTCTACGTTAAAATAACCAGGATTTCCAGTGGCTGAGTTTGCCTCTGAGATGTCTAATTTCTGGATCTCTTTATCGACAATAGGAGTCTTCATTAGTAACACCTGTGTGCACTTACGTCTTTCCTACGGGGTCTGTATGGTTAAATACGTAAAACTGGGTGACCAGAAATATCAGGTTTCCAGGGAAGATAGGAGGGCGCATAGGGTGAAATCTTTTATGTAGTGTGTTTCTCCACTGTCACAAGCAATTGAAAAACCCTTCAGGAAGGGTCTTCTCTCTTGAGTCGAAGAGTAAATCCAGAACTAGATACAGCATTCCATTTAACAGCGTTCTGGGGAAAGACTGTCTAGAATCTTGTAATGAATTGTGTTTCTTTACCCAGGAATGGATTCTGTAGTACAAACTTGCAAGTAGGAGGTTGAGACATGTTTTAGGGAACAGTTCCTGTGAGGGAGCATTGAGAAGACATTGAGTTGTGATGCAGCCACAGCAGAACCCTCAGCCAGTCCCACAGGGCTTCTGAAGTGGGGATGGCCTTTCAAAGGCAAACGATGCAGAATTTTGCTCTGCTGGCCATTTGATAGTAGTTGCCCCTGTGGAGAGGATACAGTCTTGGACAGAGCAGCACTATTTGGTAAAGGACAATTCTGGCAGGGAGGGGGACTCAACTGTGAGCCACCCGTAGAAAACACTCCTGGGAGTAGAAGTTAGTGTACTCAGTCTGGAAGGGTAATCCCTATAAGGCTATCAGGAAATAAGTACTATCAGAAATGAAGAAGCTCAGTCCTTTGTTGAATTCCTTAGTTGAATTCTATCTGTATCTGTTCAATTGCTACTGAAAATTGTGGTGGATGCTATTGTGCAAAGATGAATAAAGTATAATTTTCCCCAGAAAAAGCATATAATTAAATGGAGTTGAGGGATATAGGAGGTAAATAGTTTCAGTATAACATAATGCATGAGAGGGAGAGATGGGGAGTGCAGAGAAGCACAAAGGAAAAGCTGGATGTTCATGACAACTGTAAAGAAAATTCTGAATTGAGTCTTGGAGGATAATCAAGAGTTAGCAGTGGCATGAGGGATGAACATTGCAGGCAGAGTGGCCAGCAATCGCAAGTGGGCTGAAACCTGAAATAGCATGGTACATGCTGGGAAACAGCACATGCCAGTTGCTGTAATGAAAAATGAGAGACAGAGAGTTCTAAAGATGCAGAAGCTGCAAGGGCCAGGTCTCTTAGGGGCCTGTTTTCATTCTAAGAAGAGTTCAATGCTGTAGGCCAAAGAGGACCAAAGAATTTTAAGCATAGTTTATATTTTCACAAGACTGCTTGAGGATTCTGCTGCTAATCCAAAAGTGACATCTCTCTGGTAGTTCAAATGCCCTGGCAGCTCAAGAGAAATGTAGCCATTCTCCCTTCATGCCACTCACAGCTTCAGGAATCCCCTAGAGGGTCTGCTAGGAGTTGGTTCCGACTCAGTGGCGATGAGAGTGGGCTGTGGCTACAGAGTTCAGGAATGCCAGGCATTCCAGGAAGTGAGGACATGGTGTCCGAGGAGCACTGAGAGAGAAAGCCAAGGTGATATTGAAAAGAAAAAGGGGAAGCTGGGCTGAAATAGACAGCAGGACATGCTAAAGAAAAAAAGGCCCCGCTGGTAGGAACAGAGATATGGCCTGAGGCGTTCAGGGGTATGAGACACCCCAGGCCTCTCCTCAAGAGCTCCTCACATAGAATGCCTGTGTGTGCACACCCAGCTCACTCACCCTGGATTCTTTACCCAGCCCCTCCAAATTCCTGCCTGAGGACTCTGGGAGCTCTTCATTCTGTCTGCTCCTCTGTGTCCTCCAGCTAGTCCACTGTTACTCCCTATCTCTTTCCAAGTCATGAAAACCACAATCAGTGACTTGGAGCTGGGCAGTGTTTTTTCATATCACACAAGAGAAGATGGTCCAACTTTCTCCTGCAGAGCAGTTGGAGAATTTGAACCGCACACCTTTGGCTTAGCAGCATTATTGCTTACCACTAAGCCACCAGAGATCCCTTTTTATGGTAGTGATGTTACGAAGTATGTTTTCAAATACTTCATAAGGTAAGTAGTTCATATAGTAGGTTTTGTATTCAGCCACCACATATGTTAATATTTCTATAGGGAAATGTATTCAGAACTTTGGAACCAGTTTGGTCTCAAAGTGTGGGTGGCCCATGCATACCAGAATGCCTAGATTTCCAGAACCTAAAAGATAATGCAAACACTACCTCAAGAAGGGAAACTTGTGGGCTGCAATCTTACCCACTATGAATTACTTGCATTGAAAAGGCAAGCTTTTTAAAAAAATCCATAGTCACCAAGGTTTTGTGGAAGTCATGGTCTTGGTCATTTCCTTTTACG